GGTACCTACATATGTCAAATATGAGTTATAAGCATTTGTATCGATTTTTACTTACAAATCAATTCCTTACTGGGTTTGCATATTGCTAATTGCTTGTCGGTAATTGCAATAGGCAGCAATCTTTTTCCTGAGATTATTGAAAACACTTCGCATATTCAAAAATAGCACGGCGTCAATCAAAGTGAACGATACGCCGTGCAAGAGCTGTATGAAAAGAAGGATTAATTAATTTAATGCTATAAATATAAAAATAAGAGATATATGGTCTCACCATTATATGCAAATAATGTCCAAGCGTGGCAACAAGTATTAAAGTATCTGTAACAAATTCTGTATAATATAAAAGAAGCCCACGAGATTCCCAAACACCAGTTCTAGAGAGGTCTCTTAGATGAATTACATATTTCACGAGAGTTTGAACAGTATCCAGAAAAAGTGTAAAGCACTGATTTTAACGACAAAGCATCATGTATATCAATTAGTAAAAATACACTGACACAATTTAAAATATTTTATTACTTACCTCAAACGTAAGAAGTAACAGCATAGATCTGAAAATTGATATGCACATTATGAACCAAAATATATCGGAGATTAAAATAAGGATCAAAAGTGACAAAATGCGCAAATGATCTTGAATTGGTGTATTTGGGGTCAATGCAAGCTACAAAACATGATAGAACATTAATAGATGTTAATTTGAGGAACATACTATAAATACATACATGTTCAAATCTATCTCGACAAAGCATGCTAAATATCCTCAAAAATCCTAGAATGGTAAACCACGTTGTCCAAATAAGTAGCTCCTCCCATTTCGGCTCCAATATCGCACCCACAAAAACTACTTTGAACAGAAGAAAATTGAGAAGCCTATCATACATATGCTGAAGATACATAGTGTGAGTGAATCAATTAATATCGTTATCAAATAGAGATGGGTGAAGAGACAATATTTATAGTGTACCTGACTTTCGATAACTCGCAATTGACCAAAAAAGAATTTTAAAGTCAATCTTCCAAGGAGAAATAAAAAGCAATAAGCCATGTTGATAAATATCTGAAAATAAG